GGGTGAAATGAGGACCCAGACTGTGGGGGCGATATGCTGACTTTGTAAACCGCTTAGAGAGGGCTGAAAACCCTATGAAGCACTATATAAGTCTAACTGCTATTGCTATTGCTATTGATTTTTCAACCTATTTTGTGGTGTAACAAAAGCCAATTTTCCCAAATGGGTGTTTTTTACTGGAAACTGTAAGTAAATGTCAGAATTGACCAAAAAAACATAAACAAAAAACAGAGAGGGGGAGAGATGCAAACGCTATAAACAATCATAAAAGGTGGTATGGTTGCCAAGCACCCAAAATATGATCACATGACCACAGGGATGCGTGCAACTCTGCGTAGCTATGGTAACCTTGAAAACAAGTCCTACGTAGCTCTGGCTAGGTCCACCATGAGTTCAGTCAGTCATTAATCAACCGGCCATAAGTCAAGGACTACCCATGCAGACACAGCCTCCAGTGCACTGGCTGGATTAAGAGGGTTGCTTGGCCCCGGCTGACCAGTCTCCTTCCCTTATCCAAGCCAGCCGCATCAAATCCCTTTCGACAGACAGGCCAACAGATAGAGTGACAGATGGCTGGACGAACAGAGGGGCCTTCTGCCTTATAGGGAAGGCTGCGTTCTGCTTTCTCCCCGACCCTCTTCGTTCCTCCTTCAAAGTTTTGTCTTCTGCATTGATTCTCCTTCATTCCCTTTTGATGTCCAACCCATGGTTAAATCTAGGCTTCCCTCCCCTTGCATGTGTGCACCAACTCCCTTCTTCCTCTCTTGCTCTCGGTTTCATTCATTCGTTCGTGCGCTTTATGGTGTCCTTCCCTTACATTCCTTCTCTGGTCACTCACAGAGCCTGACCTCTGCTCCCAGTCGTGGCTTTGGTCAAACCAAAGCGCTCATTTTTTCAGTAAAGGCAGAGAGGGCAACTGACAAACCAGGTTCTCTTCTGTAGAGACAACCTTACAAGCCAACATAGCAGTTGCTCATTTACAAAGATGTCTATGTAGACTATACTGACCCACAGCCAGGATGCAGAGAATTGTCCGCAGGGGGAAACAGGGAGAAGAGCGGGATATTAGAGCCGCCTCTAGACCAGATGGGCGTCATATACATTTAATAAATAAATTATGTGTCTCCTTGAGAACACTACAGCTAAGCAACAGGGATCCAGAAAGAAACATGGGCCTCCCCCCCACTCTATTACTGCAACGTGCTCTACATGGGGCAGCCCTTGAAGAGCATTCGGAGACTTCAGCTTGTCCAGAAGGCAGGCGCGCGAGCGATTGTGGGTGCCCCTCGGTTCACCCACGTAACACCTATCCTC